GCCCTGGGTTTGATTCCTCAGCACCACATAAGCAAAAAAAAAAAAGCCGGAAGTGGCGCTGTGGCTCAAGTGGTAGAGCGCTAGCCTTGAGCTGACGAGCTGAGGGACAGCATCCAGGCCCAGAGTTCAGGCCCCACGACCAGACCCCCCCCCCAAAAAAAAGCTTTTATACACTGTATATATAAATATATATTTTAGGGTTGGGAATGTGGCTTAGTTGTAGACTACTTGCCTAACATGCATGAGGCCCTGGGCTCAATTCCTCAGTACCACATAAAAAATATTAATAAAACTTAAAAGGTATGTAAATATATATAAATAGTTGCTTAACTGGTAATAAATGATATTATTTTATTCCATAATAATAAACTATTTCTTTTTCTTAATTTAAAATAAAAAAATTATTAGTGTAAATTATTGTACAAAAGGATTTACTCCTAACTATGCAGAAGGCTAAGATTATAGAATTGTAGCTCAAAGTCAGCCCAGACAGAAAAATCCATGAGGTTTTTTCATCTCCAATTAACTAGCAAAAAAAAAAAAACAAACAAAACAGGTTAGGAAACAGGTTAGGGCTGGGAAGGTGGCTCAGTGGTAGAGTGCTTGCCTTGGATGCATGAGGCCCTGAGTTCGATTCCTCAGCACCACATAAACAGAAAAAGCTGGAAGTGATGCTGTGCTCAAGTGGTAGAATGCTAGCCTTGAGCTGATGAGCTCAGGGACAGCATCTAGGCCCCACCTCTGGCTTTTTTGGTGGTGGAGATAATAGTCTCTTGGGCTTTCCTGCCTAGGCTGGCTTTGAATCAAGATCCTCAGAGCTCAGCCTTCTGAGTAGCTGGGATGACAGGTGTGAACTACCTGCACCCAGCTCATCTTCTATTCTCTTGTTTTCCTCTGTCCATTGGACTAGGCCCAATTCCAATGCCAGTTTGAATGGATGGTGAATTTTGCATTTGAACTCAACCTTGCTATTCCATGACACAACTTATAACTGGGTAATTTCTCTTCCTGTCTCAGCCCCAGTTTAGGTCCCAGTATACCTCAGAGCCAAGCTGCTATACACATCAGCCCTGCTAAATACACCCAGGCATTATATCTTCTAAAATGTTCACATGAACTATATATTCCACATAGCATATCTTGTAAAACTACCTGCTTTCTGCTTTATTGTATGCATGCCTCTTTTAAGATCTTCTAATTACCTAATTTTGTGACAGACATTTTAATTTGTTGCCGGGTTTCGAGTTCCGTTTTGTTTGAGAGCCCTAGGAAAATTGCTCAAGTTGCTTTAATTAGTATCAATTTCGTTGTCAAATTTTCAAGATGAAGCCATTGTGTTTCAGCCTTATTTAAGCTGGAGCATTAAAATTAGTTGGGGATGTTTCAAGAATCACTCATTATGACCCAAATTTCAAGTTATTTTAAAGGCAACATTGAAAAAGAATTATTAATAAGTGCACATCTTATCTCTTTTAGCTATAGCATTTGCCAACTCCTATAAAAAGTTAATTGCCAGCCAAAATTTGTATCCCTTTTCACTGCAGTTGTCTGTATTGGTAGAAGCAGAGGTTGAGTAATTTAGAAATAAATTATATTTGTCTTCAAAGTGCTTTTGCCCTTACATTTGAATATAGGTGAGTCTGACATCTAAAGAATTCATGTCAAAATAACAAAGCTATGTTATTAACAAAAAAAAATCAGGAAGTTTCTTTTTCTTAAAAGTTGTTCTCCTACCTTGAAAGAAAGAAGCAAGCTAAGCTGAATTTAAATTAGTATTTTGTATACAGATGTTATGTGACAGGTATGGGAAGAATTTAGCAGTAGATTAAAAATAGTTGAAGTAAGATGGTCATGCCTGTAAGCTTAGCTATTTAGGAGGCTGTGATATGAAGATCGAAGTTCGAAGCCAGCTTGGGGAGGAAAGCCTTTGAGATTCTGATCTCCAGTTAACCACCAAAAGCTGGAAGCAGAGCTGTGGCTCAAGTGGTAGAGCACCAGCCTTGAGGAAAACAAAACAAAACCAACAACAAACTCAGAGACAGCACCCAGGCCCTGAATTAAAGCACCAGGACTGGGAAAAGAAGAAGCTATCCTTGAGCATAAAAGCTCAGGGACAGTGCCCAGACCATGAGTTTAAGCTTTAGAACATGTACCTCGCCCCACACACAACCACACCCACACCTACACATACAGAGAACCTGGGCATTGATTCAGCCTCCTAATAGATGAAAGGCTTCAGTAGTATCTAAAAGTTTCATCCACACTGAACATTTGCTCCACATCAGCCAATGTAGTTTTGAATGCATTGTTTTGTTTTTTTGGTCAGTCATGGGGCCTGAACTCTGGGCCTAGGTGCTGTCCCTCAGCTCTTCAGCTCAAGGCTAGTGCTCTACCACTTGAGCCACCGTGCCACTTCTGGCTTTTTCTGCTTATGTGGTACTGAGGAATGGAACCCAGGGCCTCATGCATGCAAGACAAGCACTTTACCACTGAGCCACCTTCCCAGCTCCTGATGCATTGTTTTTTAAGACTTCAGAAGACCTCACAGATTCTTAGACTCACTTTCATAGTGTGTAACAAATAATACTTGAGCTACCAAGAGCGGGCATCAGTGTCTATATTTTATTCAGGAGATTTTTCCTTCAATACTGCAAAGAATTCTTCTATTTTGGCTGTGTTGTGCTGAGAGGGATGTACTTTTTTTTGTCTGTAGGTCACTGGCACTGATCTTCTTGTAAGGTGGAGTCTGTCTCCAACATAGTCTCTTAATGGTGACATTCACAGTATATTTATTTCTTTATTTGTGCTGGTATTAGAAGTTGAACTTGGGTTCTGGGCACTCTCTCTGAGCTTTTTCATTGAAGGCTAGTGCTCTACCACTTGAGGCACAGTTCCACTTCTGGCTTTGTGGTGGTTTCCTGAACTTTCCTGCTTATTGTGGCTCCCAACTGGGTTCCTCAGATCTCAGCCTCCTGAGTAGCTAGGATGACAAATGTGAGCCACCGGTGCCCACGTTAATATCTTAGTCATGCTGTAAATGTTGGCAATGAGAACTTTGGGTCCAAACCCTTAAGTGCATTTCCAACAAAACAAATGAGGTGGGATTGGCTACTTCTATTTGGGAAAGCACAGCAGGGTAGGGAGCTTCCCTAATTATTACCTAGAAATAGACCTACCCATTGATTACTAAAACTTAGATATAAACAGACCCGCCTTCCTTGATCGACACCTTGTCACCCTCAAATTGAATACTTACATACCAGGCTCCAGAGCTCAATCCTCAGTGGACCTTGGGAGCAGGTCCGTTGTAGTACTACATCTCTACCACCAGATGGCAGAGCCTCAGCTCTGGGCTCACGAGCCTGAAGTGGGTCTAGTTTGGCGGGAGGCTGCTGGAAACTCCCGCGAGAAGACACGCGAGGATGCGCTGTCGCCTAGGTAACCGCGTCGCGTCTAGATGGAGGGACGGAGCCGCGGTGTTCGGGTCAGTCTGAACGGCAGACTCCTGCGTGCGGGCGGCGTGGTGGGTCGAGGCTCCGTCCAGTTTGGCGGTCTGTGAGTGAACGATTCTGCCTGTTTTGCAGAGAGGCGGCGTCCCCGGGCCTCGGCTCGCGCCCCGGGCTGCGCGGCCCGCGGCCCCGCGCCTGGACCTGCTGGCCAAGGAGGAGGAATACAAGTGAGGACCGCGGCCTTCGCCCCCTGCTGCCTTCATTATCATGACTCTTGCCCTTCTTCTTTCTTGGGAAGCTCTCTCCTTCCCCCAGAGGCCCCCCCCCCACACCTTGATCTTTTTCACCTGTGAATGGCGCTGCGCATGCCTGGAAGTGGGGTGTGTGTGGGGGAGGGGAGGGGGGGTGGGGGGATGGAGGGGGGCGGTCAGTGGGGAGGGAGGGAGAGAAATGACTGAGCGACGCTTGTCAAAGACCGTCGTCAGCCACCGCAGAGGTTTTGCCAAAGGCGACTTCGATCTCAGGTCTCACGGGTACGAATGAATGAATGAGTGAATGAATGAATGACTGTAGAGTCGTGTGGTCCACTTCAAGCTCCTGGAAGTGGTCGTTGGGTGCTTCTTTCCCACCCCACCCCCCCATCCCCCGCCTCAGGAAATGAAGGGCAAACCAGCTGCAAAGTTTTAGGCAAAAAAGAAAAAAAAAAAGTGCTTTTTGTTTTCTAAATGGAAAGCAATTTTTTTTTGGGGGGGTGGGAGGTAAGGGGGTGGGGAGACAGGAATCAGGTTTGGAGAAAGGAGCTGCGGGAGTTTGCGTTCTCAGTGTGATTAGCAACTCTTCCTGAAAAAAAAGTGTTTTTTGGTGAGCTTCCATGTCTCTCATTCGCAGCCAGGGTGATCTTTAGATTTGGTCACGTTATTCCATTCCTTCAAACGCCGAGAGCAAGCCGGGCGCAGGTGGCTCACACCTGTAATCCTAGCTATCCACGAGACTGACAGCTAAGGATGTCAGGTTCCAAGCCAGCCAGGGCAAGAACGTCCATGAGACCCTTATCTCCAATGAAGCTCCAAAAAGCCGGACACGGGGCTGGGGCTCAAGTGGTAGAGCTCAAGCCTTGAGTGAAAAAGCCCAGGGACGGCTCCCAGGCCCCGCTATGCCCAAGCCCTAGGAGTAGCACAAAGCAACAAAAGAAAAAAAAAAAAAAAGAAGCCAAAATGCTTTCCTGTTTCTCTTCAAGATCTTGACAGCCGGATCTCCTATCCTTTATTGCTTAAAAACCTGTTAGTCCTTCATTTCTGCAAGCTTTTCTTTTTCTCCAGGGAAATGATGAGCCCTTCCTGAGTGGCCTTCTTTGAGAGACTCCCTTGCTGAGCTTTTCTATTGTTTCCTTCATTTTTCTTTGCAATTAGCATGGTTTGTTATAGTAAATCCACTTAGGTTACTTGTCTTTCTTTTCCTTTGTTGTCAGTTGTGGGGCTTGAACTCAGGGCCTGGGTATTGTCCCTGAGCTCTTTTGATCAAGGCTACTGCACTACAGCTCCACTCCGGTTTTTGAGGGGTTAATTGGAGGTAAGAATCTCACAGAGACTTTTCTTCCCTGGCTGGTTTTGAACCACTTATCCTCAGATCTCAGCCTCCTGAGTAGCTAGGATTACAGGCGTGAGCCACTGGTACCTACTGTATGGTTTTTAAAGTACACAGAAGCCAACTTTCCCAGGAAGAGAATGCCTGCTGCCCCTCTGTGTTCAAATCAGTCTTGTTACCAAGATGAAAACTGCATTTATACAACCAGATCTGTTGTTCCTTTGTGCTGGAACCAAAATAGTTGTTTTCTTTGTGTATTTTGTTGTTATTTAGAGTTACTAGAGTTTGAATTATGCTCCCAGCTGCCAAAACAATTATTTTCACTATCAAGTACCAGATAGAATTAAATACCTGCATATAGTAGGTGAACTGTTTGGTTATAATGTACACGTCTTGCAGCTGCTCTGGTCCATCATTGGGCTTATTAGAACCATGCCTGAAAATACTCTAGTTGCTGCATTTTTGTGGCGGAGACAGTTGGTAGTTATCTGTACTCTTGAGGCTTGCCTGTCTGAGGCGGAGGAGCAGAGCAACTCTGGCTAGGCCTGTGATGTGCAGAAGAGTAGAATGTGCATCCATTTTTCTAGGCAAGAATGTGAGTTCCTGAGTGTCCTGTGTTGCCACCCATATGTCTTAGTTACTCTAGGCAGTCTTCCATCACTCCTCTGGCTGCATTTCACTCCTCCAGGCTATGGGCAGAGGTTCTACAGATGTGGCCCTCTGTAACTCATGGCACTCACCAGGGCATCAGCTTCTGGCTGCTAAGTTTGGCTTCTGTTCCTATTTACTGCTCTTATTTGAATTGTTTATTCTCAGTGCCAGGACACTTCTGAGTGAGTCTGGCTTGCCAGTGGTGTTTTTGTTTTGTTTTGTTTTTGTGTGTGTGTGTGTGCTCGTTCTGGGGTTTAAACTGAAGGCTGTCCCTAAGTTCTTTTTGTTCAAGGCTAGCTAGCACACTACAGCTTGAACCACAGCTCCACTTCTGGCTTTTTTTTTTGGTGGTTAATTGGAGGAAAAGAGTCTCCTGAGCTTTCCTGCCATGGTTGGCTTTGAACCTTGATCTTTGGATCATTTTTAAAATGATTGTCTTTAGCTGTACAAAGGAGTTGTCATCTAACAAAGCAGTGTCTCACTCATCTCTCATCTACCTACCCCTTTTCTCTTATATGTAGAAGCTAAATGTAGCTTATAAACTTAGAAGTAAATACATTGGGTGGTGTGCAAGTATATATACAAACGTATTAACTAAAATATGGTACATTCATGTGAAATCTCAAATAGTGTAATTCCTTAGAAAGGCAAATTAAAGTTCAGCAAAAGAAAACACCAGAAGCAGATACTTGGAAGGGGGTGGGGTAGGGTTAGGTCAATGGGAAAAGGGTAAATGAATAAAGAGAAGAGGGGAGAATATAGACCAACGTAATAAGCTTTTCTTATTGTTCTTTTTGTTGTTGTTGTTGTTGGTCGTGGGGCTTGAACTCTGGGCTTGGGCAATGTCCCTGTGCTCTTCAGCTCAAGGTGAGCCACAGCACCACTTCCGGTTTTCTAGTGGTTTATTGGAGTCTCACATGGACTTTCCTGCCCAGGCTGGCTTTGAACTGTGATCCTCAGATCTCAGCCTCCTGAGTAGCTAGGATTACAGGCATGAGCCACTGGCGCCTGGCCTTCTTATTGTTCTTTTAACCAAGCAATCTTTTATTTTTTTATTCTAAAGGTGATGTTCAGAGGGGTTATAGTTACATAAGTCAGGTAATGAGTATATTTATTTTTGAACAGTATTCCCCCCTCCCTGTTTTCTCCTGCTTTCCCTCCCCCTCTGACTCTCTTCCCCCTCAAATTGTAAAGTTTATTTCCAACATAGTGTCTTGGTGAGTATTGCTGTTGCATTGGTTCACCCTTGGTCCAATGGTTTCTGTGATTCCTTTCCCCTTCTCCAAATCAGATAAACTTCTATACAAGACAAAGGGTGCCGAAATAAAAAGCAGGGAATAAACCAAAGGAAAAAATGAAAGCAAAAAGAAATAACTGCAAACAGTACACCAAAACCAACAAAAACCTCTTGTTTCTACATCTTGGAGTTCATTTCAATTAACATCATTTTATATGGTCATACATGGCTATTGAGCTATTGTAATTTTCTGCTAGGACTATCCTAGGCGTATACTAATTATTACCAGTGAGGGAAACCATGGAGCCTATGTTTCTTTTGGTATGGCTTACTTCACTTAATATGATTTTTTCCATTTCCTTAATGAATAGGGTGATAAGATTCTTTCTGATGGAAGCATAGAATTCCATTGTATACCTAAGATATGGAATTAACCCAGATTCCTCTCAGTAGATGAATGGATCAAGAAAATGTATATATACATAAAGTATATTTCTTAAACCATCAAACTATTAAGGCAGCCTGAGCATGGAGATGGAGGTGATCATGTTATTTCTGATTCTCCTGCCTGAAAAAAACAAGGTTTTTTTTGACTTGTCAGCTTTTTATAACTTCAAAAGAAGCATGAGGCTAGGCGCTGGTGGGTCATACCTGAAATCCTAGCCACCAGGAGTCTGAGATCTGAGTACCACAGTTTGAAGCCAGCCTGGGCAGGAAAAATTAAGCACACCCACTTTCTTCTTCCTAAATTTTCCTCAGCTAAGTCACTTCCGTTGAAGGCCTGGGCTAAGGCCGTGGAATGGCCAAGACTTGCCCTGCAAGTTCCTGCACAGGTAGGAAGACTTGCGTAAGTCAGACATGAGTACTGATCATTGTGTTCATGTTTGGATAAAAACGTCATGTGTATCTTCTAGTGTGTTGATTAGATTACTTAGTAACTTGTTATTGCTGACGTTTATTTTTTTATTAGAGTTTCAGCTTAACACAATTATTGATTTTCTGTTTTTAGGCGTTTGAATGCAGAATTGGAGGCCAAAACAGCTCGTCTGGTTCAGCAAGCTGAGGAAGTACTAGTAAGTAAATACACTGGTATTCCCTGTGGGTGCAAAGTTTTTAACTTTTTTTTTTATTGTGAAAATACTGTACAGAGGGTTACAATTACATGGGCAAGATAATGAGTACATTTCTTATCAAGCATGGTAGCCGACTTTTTTTTTTTTGTACTGGTCCTGGGGCTTGAACTCAGAGACAGGGTGCTGTCCCTTGCTTTTTTGCTTATTGCTGGCACTCTACCGCATGAGACAGAGCTCCACTTCTGGCTTTTTTGTTGCTTAATTTGGAGATGAGCGTCTCATGAACTTTCCTGCCCAGGCTGGCTTCAAACTACTCGTCAGATCTCACACTCCTGAGTAGCTAGGATTACAGGTGTGAGCTACCATCACCCTTTTTAACTTTGTAATTTAATGTATAACATACATATACAAGAGTACCCAATATGTCACACCCCAAAGTACCCAAAGCATAAACATTTAGCTGAACACATGACCACAAGCTGAACATTCATATATATATCCTGCTTTTGGTAGACATACATTTTCTAAAAGCCACTGGAAAATGTTTTCCACTTGGATTTAATAAGGACATTAATATGAACAATATTTTCTCACACCAAAATATTAATACTTAAGCGTATCTCTAGAATTAATGCTGATAATTCAATAAGGATATTTGAAATAAAATGAGTTCTAGATAAAAGTGGAATCAATGATAGTTGACTCAATAGAGCAAAACTGGGGTCAGCAGGACTTCCTTTTCCTGTGTAGCATTTCTAATTCAGTGCTTTGTTATCATAGGGGGTGAGGAGCCTGGGCAATGAGGGCTTGTGTAGATTCTAGGATTGTCTAGTGTTTTGGGTGGTACATATGAGTCACTCTTACTCATTTAACTAGAGGGATCAACAGGAAATACAATCTCAGCCTTTATCAGCACACATCAAATCTTCTGAAGAAGGAAATGCCAGTTCAAGGTGAGTACAATGGTAACTACCATTGCTATTTTGTGCGTGTGTGTGTGTGTGTGTGTGTGTGTGTGTATGTGTGTGTGCTGAACCTGGGACTTGAACTCAGGGCCTGAGTACTGTCTCTGAGCTTTTGCACTCTCCCACTTTGAGCCACAGCTCCATTTTCAGCTTTTGTTGGTTAACTGGTGATGCAGAGTCTCATGGACTTTCCTGCCTAGGCTAACTTTGAACTGTGATCCTCAGATCTCAGCCTCCTGAGTAGCTATGATTACAGATGTGAGCCACTGGTGCCCACTCTGGTGGTATTTTTAAGTTCAGTGGTATGTGTGGATCTTCTTCCCTGCAAATGTTAAAAAACTAATTTGAAGAAAAATAATATCATGTACAAGTACTCTACCCACATTACTTCATGTAGCCTTCAAAGTATTATTGCAAACTAAATACTGTCCTCATTAAAAACAAAACAACTACAGATAAACAACAACTACAGATTATGGAAGTTCAGTAGTTTGCTCAGGAACAGGTAGAAAATGTTGTTTCAAGGAGGATTGGACCACGGTTGATATGTTTCCTAAATTTGCTTGCAGACACTATTCTATCTTTTATGATCGTGTGTGAAGATGACATAAATTATTATTTTTTTTTATTTTGGTCCAGTTGTGGGGCCTGAACTCTGGGCCTGGGCGCTGTCCCTCAGCTCTTCAGCTCTAAGCTAGCGCTCTACCACTTGAGCCACAGCGCCACTTCTGGCTTTTGTCTTTTTGCTTATGTGGTGCTGAGGAATCGAACCCAGGGCCTCATGCATGCAAGGCAAGTGCTCTACCACTGAGCCACCTTCCCAGCCCAAATTAGTAAAGACAACATATACACATGAACATCATGTAAACTCACATGCCAAGAAATTAGGCAGTTACAAGCTATTTAGGAACAGATTTAACAGGAAAAGTTCAGGATCACCTGAATAACATCACAAAAGCTTACTGTCGTAGAGGTAATAGTGATCACTAACCATTCATTCCATGTCTCACAATTGCCGTTGGAAGCTTCCAGAACGAGACAATTTAGAGCAGCTTGATGAAGTTTAAGGCTCCCTCCCTGCTGCCTGAATGCGTCAGCTCTGTGTCTCGTGTGTCCCCCCATTGGTCAGTCATGGAGCATCTGTTAGTTCCCACAGGAGAAGGAATGTGTAGCCTGCCACTGTGTCACAGGGCCGGCACCTGCCGCTCACTCCATTCAGGACTCATTGTGCTGTCCTGTGTCATCCCAGGAATAATGGGACGGTTTTTATGTTTCTATTTTTAAATATATATATATATATATAAGGATAGTTTTTAATTTTTAAAACTGTAGCTAGATCCAGTCCAGGGGCTTGAACTCCAGGCCTGGGGACTGTTTCTGAGCTTCTTTTGCTCAAGGCTAGCACTCTACCACTTGAGTCACAGCACCACTTCCGGCCTTGTCTGTTTATGTGGTACTCAGGAATCAAACCCAGGGCTTCATTCATGCTAGGCCAGCACTCTACCACTAAGCCACAATCCCAGCCTATACAAAGAGATCTCAACTCCACTCTCCCATTTTGCCCAACCCCATCCATACCCTCATTACATTTATAGCATACTTTGAACACAATGACTGCATTTGCCCACCCCCCATTTGGTGTGACCTCTCCTATTCTCTCCCCAAAAGTATGTTGTTAAGGGTTCATTAGTTGTACAGGGGACATACACCATTAGACTCTTTTCTGACTCTCTCATCTTAATTTGTCTCACAGCTTCTTATAGTCTCTTGTTATATAATTTTTTTATCACAGTTATTTGTTGTTAGTCTCTTCCTGTGTTGCTATGTAAGTGAAACCATAATCATCTATGTATACCTATATGTAGATGTACGTCACTGCCATTGTTTGGGGCCAGGGCCTGGTCTTTGGCAGGTAAGGAGACTTCTGTACGGTAAAGAATTATAGCTGGGTGCTGTTGTCTCACACCTGTAATCCTAGCTACTCAGGAGGCTGAAATTTGAGGATTGTGCCTTGAAGCCAACCTAGACAGAAAACTCTGTGAGACTCTTTTTTTTTGTCGGTCGTGGGGCTTGAACTCTGGGCCTGGGCACTGTCCCTCAGCTCTTCAGCTCAAGGCGAGCGCTCTACCACTTGAGCTACAGCGCCACTTCCGGTTTTCTGGTGGTTTATTGGAGATAAGAGTCTCACGGTCTCTCCTGCCCGGGCTGGCTTTGAACCGCGATCCTCAGATCTCAGCCTCCTGAGCAGCTAGGATTACAGGCGTGAGGCACCACCGCCTGGCTCTCTGTGAGACTCTTATCTCCAATAAACTACTCAGAAAAAGCCAGAAGTGGTGCCTTGAGCACAGAGTCTCATGGACAGTGCCTAGGCCCTGAGTTCAAGCCCAGCAAAAAAGAAAAAAAAAAGAATTACAGTCTTGGGATGAACTGTAGTTACAAAAATGGCACCAACTAGATCAGATAGGTAAAGGATTTACTAATTTTTGGAGATATATGCCAGCAAAAAAAAACCCTTATGGATTAAATTTGTTTGTAGGTGCCTAACTCTCATAACTCTTCAGAGTCTTAAGGTCAAAAAGCAGAAGGTGAGATCCGCGTGGCACTAGGTGGGTGGATTATTTGAACAACTTGCTGAGCTCAGAAACAAAAAAGGAATGTTACTGAAGTGGCACTTAACTGGTTTTATACTTGAAATACAAGGACATCATTCATTCATTAAGAACTAGCTATTGCGCTTCATCTAGTGAGTCCCGTCCTAGACATTCATCTTAGACATTAAAAGACAAACTTGCATATAAATGTTTATAGCAGTTTTATTCATAATTGCCTCAAATGTTCATGAAATGGTAAGTGGATGAACTACTTATGGTATATGTATAAGATGGACTATTGGGCATTACACAGGAGTGGACCACTGGTGCAATGGCAGCCGTGATGCTAGGTGAAGGGCTCCAGACTCAAAAATGTATACAGTGTCTATTGCCACGCATGTTTGATGACGGGCTGTGCTCTGGTTGCTACAAGGCTGGGCAGTTCCAGCCGTGGGAACTTCAGGCAGAGTCTGATTTTTCTGGCTGGTGCACATTTCTCAGCTGCGATAATCCTGTGAAACTGCTCTTATGTATGAGGCCAATCTTTGGTCCAAAATGTCGTTATGGGGCTCATTATAGGGTTTGACATTCTGGAAAAGTCAAAAATAGAAACAAGCTAGATGCCTGTGGCTCACCGCCTGTCATCCTAGCCACTCAGTAGGCTAAGATCTGAGGATCATGAAAGTTGGTTGAAGCTTTTATCTCCAAGAACCGCCAGAAAGCCAGAAGTGGAGTTGTGGCTCAAGTGGTAAAGCAGTAGCCTTGAGTAAAAAAGCCTAGGGATAGTGCCCAGGTCCTAAGTTCAAACCCCAGGACTGGCACAAAAGCAAGCAATGGTGAGGACAGCTCTTTTTTCCCGTGTCAGGTGGAGTTCTTCACGCTACTGTTTGTCCAGGTCACTGTCACTGTGTGGAATGTGACACTTGATTATCCATGGGGAAGATGAAGATGGGGGTCTGTTCTGTAAAGATCCCATCCATTTCAGGCTGGGACGGTGACACACCTGGACACCAATCACAGGCAGCATGCCTGTCCTAGGTTCACAACCACGGTTACTCTCAGAAGATATCTACCTTCCTGTAGTATCTTACACGTCCTCCAGTCTGCTGGAAGCGAGGCTCACCTGCAGAGCACTTCTGATTTAAAAAGGCCTTCCTAGAGAGGTTTCACAGAAGTCAGCAGAATGCTGTGACACTCCATTTACATAGGAGTATGATACCGAATCTTATCCCCGTGAAACCCTAAGGACACAGGTAGCAGTTGGATATCTTAGCTGATGAGATTGTGCAGATGTGGGTGTGGGGAGTGTGATGGAATGCCTTGCATAGCAACAACAGCTACTACTGTGGCCTGTTTTCTTTCTTTCTTTCTTTTTTTGGGCCCGGTGGTGGGGCCTGAACTCTGGGCCTGGGCGCTGTCCCTCAGCTCTTCAGCTCAAGGCTAGCACTCTACCACTTGAGCCACAGCGCGCCACTTCAGGCTTTTTTCTTTTTGCTTATGTGGTGCTGAGGAATCGAACCCAGGGCCTCAGGCATGCAAGGCAAGCGCTCTACCTCTGAGCCACCTTCCCAGCCCATGTGGCCTGTTTTCTAAGATAGGAATGTAGATGCTGTAGACCACTGATCAGAGGTAGGCAAACTTTTGTAAAGCACTGTTGTTTCTGGATTCATGGGCCAACAGTCCGGCTCACTACCGCTCTCCACTGCTGCCTGGCAAGAGCACACAGCCACTGCTGCATGTGGTGGATTCATGTGTGCCATCGTCCACAGCCTCTCATAAATACTTGTAAACTACAAATTATTTAAAAAATGTAAGCCAGGCCGGGCGCTGGTGGCTCACGCCTGTAATCCTAGCTACTCAGGAGGCTGAGATCTGAGGATCGCGGTTCAAAGCCAGCCCGGGCA